CAGGGGTAAGGAGTGTAGTAGAGCGCGGAGAATAATCTTTCTTCCTCTCTCTCCCAACAGTTGGGGGAGATTCCGGAGTGACTGGGGGAACAGAGATGCAGAGAGGCTGAAGCAGAGAGACGATGGGCATTGGTAGAGATAACGGCAGACAGCGGAGGTTTACTGGGGGATATCTTCCCCTTGAGGAAAGTATAGCATACGACCCCTGGAATGATTTGATGCGTGCTTGAAGAAATTCGTTCACCCACACCGGATCTCCTTAGCTCATAGGCTTAGGAACCCTTTGATTGCCCTTCCCCTTTGAACGACTTGTCTATATCCGTGCTACTCAGATTCTGGTGCGAATGTCGCGCACGTGACACCATAGCGTTGATGTTATCTCCCGCCTTCTGTTTTTTTTCTCTGAGATAAAGCGAACGTTATCTTTCATCTAGGGATCTGGACGCCGGTGTTGGAAAGTCTTTTGTCAGTAGGCGCAGAAAGAAGAAAAAGCGGGAAACTACTGTGCGTGAGCGGTTAGAGGTCAGTATTTATTCGGATTTCTGCTGACGCCACCAAAAGACCTCAGGCAATTGCGATAGTTTTCAGAAGAAACTTCTCAACCCTCGTACAATCAAACGTGTCTCCGCTATTCTTGACGCCGCATGTAAAGCTAATCTTGAAAGAAACTACGGAGATCAATTCGCCCATCGGCCTTCATTATGAATAGAGTTGTAAATGAGGTTGTATAGGAATGTATCATGAATCAAAAGTGTAAATAGACTGTTTGTAGTTTTTTCATCCTTCGATCTAGTCGATAACGCTTCCTTTCATTACTGTAACCGTCCAGCTCCCCTTTCTAAGTAGGTTCTCGAGTATCCGTAGAGTACATCTGTATTTTTGTATTATGCAACATTCCTTTCTGTACAAGCGTAGGTTCCCTGTTTCACAGATGAATAAAGATTTCCACTGGACAATTTTCTCATTTTTTCCATGGAAAGGGTAATAACCCAAGCCTTCAGCACCAATCCTGTTCAGTTTCTTTTTATTCAGCGAGGCACTGAAGACGTTAGTGTACAGCACGTTTGCAATCTAGTAGCCACTCCCCGTCCGTCATCACCCACCCACTCCCTCGCCCTGCACTATAGCAATTAGCCATTGTTCGCCTTCACCTCCCCTCCCCTCCACCCTCCCAGCTTTTTCCCTGTCGTGTGACTTTTCGATTCCCACTCAACCCTTACAATAATAATTTACTGCTGGGAACGACCAAGGAATTACATTTATTTCGTACAACTCGGCAGAAACAGACATATAGAAGCAGTACTTTCCACTAGAAGCGAATCTGTAATTTCCTGTGAAACATGATTCTACTATCGTAGGAACGATTTCTGCGATTCTAGTAGTTTGAGATCGTAATGACAGGATCCAGGACAAACAGACTTCCAAAACCGTGCTAATAGAACCATGGAAAACGGGGCGAAATACGCCAGTGAAATTCTTGAGTCATCGAGTCAATCTCGTCATCGGCTGATCCTTGTAGGGTTACCATCGTCGAAGGTGGAAGTGACAGTGGTTGCAGGGCAGAGGTGGCAGAACGATATAAGTTCTCAAAAGAATAGTAGTGAAGTGGAAAGTAGTACACAGAGAATAGTCGCTGATAAGCTAATGGACGTGTTTTGGGGCGTACCACGGTCTCCGCATAGACGAAGTCACTGGGTTCTTTCGTTCGGCTTTGTGAGATCCCATTCGCTGCTAGAAGCTTTCTGGCATGAGTTTTAACATGTTTTCACGTTGTTCTTTACCATTAAACATACCATTGAAGCTTAATACCTGCCGTTCTACAGGTTCTAATTGTAGCTTTCGCCTGGCAAAGGTGCAGACTGACCAACTCTGCGTTCAATCCCGTGGCTTCCACTAGTTTCGTAGCCATCTCCATCAAAGTATTGGCACCAGCTACATGTTGTAGAGCTTATTCTCCATAATCGCAAGTATCGTGTCAAGCCGGACTATGCGATGCCTTGAAAAGAACCCTCCCTCACAACGAGACTACTACGCACGGCTCTTTTTACTTCGAACACGATCCTTGACTGCGGCCGGACTCATCACTTGAACGAACGCTCAAATTCTTGCTTTCGTAGTTATCATTGTTGCCATTATAGTTCTTGTTGCCAAACCCCAGACCACACGCTCGCTCTCCCCCCCCCTCTCCATCCCCCTCACTCACTCCTGCACACGTCCGAATGATTTATAAAAATCCATAAACAAAAACATGAATTAGGTACCTGCTACGTCTTTTGCAACATCGGATAGGCTTCCATGCGTTTGCGGTAAGTTTCTTGACGACTTTGCTCTAGACCGAAGAGATGCCGCATTTATTTCATGTCCAAGGTGCCCAGCGCAACCTTCGTATACGACAGTGCCATCATTTCGTTCAAATACCTGCAGTCGTTCTCTGAGAAAGAAAAATAGCTTGAAATCAAAGATGAAGCTGAACCTTCAAGTGGGCAGGACAGTGCGATTGAATTCGCTTGCTTTTGCTGTGAACATGACGGACTTCAGCACCTATATCTGCTTTAGGTCCTCGAGCATGCCTGCATAGGTAAAGATGTTTCCTACCATTCTTACGCGGCTTAGAGTCTCTTTTTGAAAATTTTGCGAAAGTTGACTTCTCCAGGGAGGTCTTCCATACCTAAGACATTATGAAGATAAGTGACGAAACAATTGTGGGCTTAAAACAAGTTTCACCTCAAAATCTTTCATGCTGCTGAAACTTCCGCTAAATACCGAAAAATCTGGCGATTCTACATTTTCGTCGCTATGTGAGCTTCCGCAATGCTGGGCCAATTCACGATGAGTACGAAAACGTTCACTACATTTTGGGCACAACACTCTTACCATTGATGACCGAGCCGGCCCAGTCCCATGAAGTCGCTGAAGTACTGTGAATTACGCATGCTATAATGCAGAGGGAAAATGGTACCTTTTTATGCTTTCTCACGCCAGCCTTAGAGTTGAATACCTTGTCACACTGGTCGCACGACCACACTTCTGGGTATTTAGCGGTTTTGATGCGAATCTTTTCATCCTTTATCAGTTCTTCGGTCCATCCATGTGCGTGTCTCAGGTGCTTGTAGAGACTGCTCAGTTTTTGACCAACTCCGCATACGACACAGTCGAAGTCGGTATACATCTAAAAATAAAGGATAAAAGGATAAAGTCTTCGCCGTTGATCAATCCCTTTGTGGGATGCGGCACGCATTCTACTTCCATTCAGAATCGTAGTGGCTTATTGAATGCGATGTGGCCTATACAATGACTTGCGGTGGCCAGCCGATGTACAAGTCAGTGTTTTATCCTCCCAGACGAATCTGGTACCAATTTACCGTCCCCGGAGGGTAGAAGGCTTGGTTGGCCTGGGATTCGAACCCAGGACCGCGCGAGTGGTAAGCGCGCCACTTGTCACTACACCACCTCCGCCTCAGAAAATAGAAATATGAGGTAGCGAAAAGCTAAATGTAACCATGAACAATTTGGAAGCTTTTCCCGATTTGAGTATTTGTACCAAGCGCCCGTACTTTCGACATTGCTTGGCAGTGACTCTTCAAGTCATATCATTAAGGAGTGTGACGCGACTTCCAAAAGAATGTTTGAGGAGCGCTAACGTACCTACGGAAGGGGGGGCTACGCGGCACGCTGCTCTTCTGCATCCTATTCACTGTGACAGTGTCTGAAACAACCTGAGAAGTTTTCCATCACATTGGATTACCATCCTGTGACGGTATTACGTTCATGTTCTATTGCAGAAATTACCAAGTTACCTTGAAATATGCTTCAACAGATCCACCCAAAGGCCCTGAGCTTTTCCTGACCCCCCCCCCCTTACGTTAGCACCCTTTTAGGTTTTCTGTTGAGGCAACACGTGATGAATCAACGAGCAAAGCACTCAGTATTAGGCATCCGTCAAATCTCAAGGCATAGAGACCCCAAAAAGGCAATATGTATGTTCATGAATTGCTCCAAAGTGGAAGCATAGTGGAAGCACTCAATTCAAAGGTGAGAGCGCTGACGCAAAATTACACAGTAGGTCTGACGCGAACTTGCAGACCAGCTCCCGTCGTCAGCCCCTTTTTCGAATTCTAGCCGGCCCACGAAATGAAAGAGGCATACTCACATGATGGATGATTCTTCGAGAATTTTGCGTGTCATCACCAACAAGTTGGTGAACGAGGTATACATGATATTTATTGCCACTGGGACGGTGAAGAGTATTCTAGAATGTTGTTGGTAATAGTGGATCAGACTTACTTCGTTTCAGGCTGTGAATAACTCCAAGAAATATATTGGCACTGAATCGCAAGAATTCAAGAAGCTTAAGAAGGAAGTCCGTGAGAATGAGGACGCTATTACCGAATATGTCGAGTACTTATTCATATCTCTGAAGGTTTGTCTTCATTTTGATTATACTTTGTTTGTTGTGTGATACTCGCTGTTCCTCTTCACAGTCCCCGATGAGGAAAATACCATGTGATTGCTGTCCTATTGGCACAATGGTTGACCTCAACCGAATCCGAAAGAAGAAGGGGGCCTGCGCGGGATAATGAAACGTGTAAAACGGGTTGTTTATATTTAGGTTTTCAGGTTGTTGCAACTTTATACGACAGTAACCTGAAAACTATTGCATCAAAGTGCCCCTGTACCGTAGCACGTGATTTATCCAAGGATCAGCTTGAAACACCCTTTTAAACGTGATCAATAAAAGTTCTTTCTAGCGCTCCGATTCTGAACGTAGGCAAG